CCAGAGCCACATGCCACTGCAGTACATCTACACCCTGTTTCTGGATCACGACCTCAGCCTGGGAGCCCTGGCCTTGGAGACGGTGGCCCAGCAAAAAAGAGACTACTACCAGGTGAGGGAGCCATGCTGTCCATGCATATTCTGTTCCCAACCTCCCAGCAGGAAGGCACTGTTACCATCAGGGCCGTTTTTGCTGATGAGGAAGCTGAGGCCCATGGATGCTGAGGAACTTGCCCAAGGTTACCTAGCAGAGATTCAAACCAGGCTTCCTGAGCAGTTGCAAAACTGTGCTTTTGTTGGTGGGGCTCAAGGTGAGGTACTGAGTGTTCCCCAAGAAGAGATTCTTGGCATCTCTGGGTGAAGGCAGGAAGGATGAGGTGACCACTAAGTCTCTTTATTGGGACACAGAGTGGGGGTGAGCAGGTCTGGGTGAGAGGTCCCCTCCCCCGCCCCAGAGAGAGTGCAGACCTTGAAAAGGGTCCAGAGGGTGAAAGGCACGTGACCTCAGGGAGTGCAATGACCGGTAGCCCTGAGGCAGCACCCCATCCCCCATCATTGCCAGCCCCTGGCCGCCAAACGGACTGAGATTGAGAAGTGGCGGAAGGAGTTCAAGGAGCAGTGGATGAAAGAGCAGAAGCGGATGGTGAGACCCAGGCTGGATGAGGGTGAGCCAGGGGAGGAGCGGAAGGGGCGCTGACCATGCTCCTGCCCTGCCCTGCCCCCAGAATGAGGCGGTGCAGGCCCTGCGGAGGGCCCAGCTCCAGTATGGACAGCGAAGCGAGGAGCTGCGGGTGCGCTCCCAGGCATCCCTGGAGGACCTAGCCCCCCAGAACTCTCTGGGACCCAGCAAACAGCAAGAGAGGCGGCGGCGCTCTCGAGAGGAGGCCCAGGCCAAGGTGGTGACCCTGCCCCATGCCCCCCCCCAGCNCCCCCAGCGTTTCAGTGTCCCCCGCCCCATGCTGTCTCCCACATGCACCCCCGGCCTTGGTGTCTCCAGGCACAGGAGGCAGAGGCGTTGTACCACGCTAGTGTCCGTGAGGCCAATGCGAGGCAGCAGGACTTAGAGGCCACTAAGCAACGAATTGTGTCGCACATACGCAAGCTGGTGCTGCACGGGGACGAAGTGATGAGGCGGGTGAGACCCTACCCCCAGCTGAGCTCCTCTCCCCCCTGCTCTCCCTAAACTGCCTCCAGGACACCAGAACTCACTCCATCTCCATGGACAACCAGTTCCCGCCCCAGACCCTGACTGCACCTCTGCCTAGGCCCCACTCCCATGGGGCCCTGTCCCCAGGATGATCTTGCCCAGCTCTGACCAGCCACTTTCCCTGTGACTGCCATCATCCCTAAGCTGCCTACAAATGTTCCACCCTAACCCCAAACCTTGACTATGCTGGTGTTTCCTGCCTCCACCCCCCATCTCTCATGCCCGGTCTCTGTGGTCTCCTGGCAGGTGACCCTGGGACTGTTCCACCTGCGAGGAGCTCAAGCAGAGCGTGGTCCCCGTGCCTTTGCCGCCCTGGCTGAGTGCTGTGCGCCCTTCGAGCCGGGCCAGCGCTACCAGGAGTTCGTGCAAACACTGCAGCCAGACCCTCTGCCACCCCCACCACCTGCCTTCTCTTTCCAGGAATTTGTTCCTACCCCACACAGGTGGGCCCCTAGGAGCAGAATCAGGGAGGAGCCCCAGAGATGGTGCCAGCTGTTGGCACCATGGGGCTGAAAACTCAGAGTCAGAGAACTCAAAGCCTCAGTACTTGGGTTTAGTACCCAAGGCTCTCACTTGGGAGCAGGGGTTGTCCCAGTCCTGGGAGGATCGGGACTTTCAGGTTACTGCACTGGCCATGATGCTTGTGCATATCAGGGCTTACAGACCCAAGTACTTGGAGTTGGATCCAAGATGCGGTCCCTGGGTGCTGTCACCCCTGGCCAGTGTCCTGGTTCTCAGAGCCCTCAAACCTGTCCTCTCAGCTCCCCTCTGGACACAAGAAAAAAGCTCTCCGGCCCCCCACCTCCACGGTTGGATGAGAGTGTAGCTGAACCAGGCCCTTGGGAGGACACAGGCATAGGCTGGCAGGGTGAGTACAGTGAGGAGCGGGCAGGAGTGGTGCTGGGGCAAGGGCCGTACTAATTGACCTGTCCCCTCCTAGGGACTCCAGGCCCCACTCCAGGCAGCGATGTGGACAGCGTGGGAGGTGGCAGTGAGTCTCGATCCCTGGACTCTCCCACTTCCAGCCCAGGTGGGGCCAGGACCTGGCCCTGACCCACTCCTAACCTCTGACCATCTTCCAGCCCAGACCAGGCTCTGATGTATAATCTCTAACCCATCCTTTGACCTCTAATGTACCCACACTCCTGACCTATTTCTTCAGCCTCTGATCTGTCTGACCCCTCTCCTGACCTCCGATCCTTTCCCCAAGGACATCTGTGGGTGGTTCTGAAAGGCCTGAAAAGCAGGATGGTCTCCTTACCCTTGGAACTTCCCCTGACCCCAACTTCTGTGATCCTCTGACTCCAGGCCCTGGCACAAGGCGGCTGGCGAAGGTCTCATCCACAGGCACTGAGTCTTCAGATGACTTTGAGGAGCGAGACCCTGGTGAGGCTGGGAGCAGGTGGGACAGGACTGGGGTGGGGGTGGACCATGCCCGCCTGACCCTATTTTCCTGCAGACCTGGGAGATGGACTTGAGAATGGGTCAGGCAGCCCCTTCAGGAAGTGGACACTGTCCAGCGCAGCCCAGACCCACCGGCTGCGGAGGCTGAGGGGCCCAGCCAAGTGCCGAGAGTGTGAGGCCTTCATGGTCAGCGGGACCGAATGTGAGGAGGTGTGGCCCGGGCCGATGACCCAGTGCTCTCTGCTGACCCCCAGTGACCTCCCTGAGCCCAGGCACCTCCATGACCTGATATTCCTGTGACCTTCCTGCCCCTGGCACCAGCCCTGGTCCAATGATTTCCCATGAGCTTCCCTTTCCCTAAGGATCCTTACAACCTTCACTTCTCCTGCTGACCCCCAATGACCTCCCTGACCCTGTGACCTCCCCCCATGCCTGTGCTTTCTTTTTTAAGGAATCTGTTCTTTATTTATGCAAAACATTTTCTAAATTAATTTTTATTTGCTACCAATGAATTTGCTACCACCACCACCCCCAGTGCTTTCTGACCTGCCACAAGCGCTGCCTTGAGACTCTGCTGATCCTCTGTGGACACAGGCGGCTCCCAGCCCGGACAGCCCTCTTTGGGGTCGACTTCCTGCAGCTGCCCAGGGATTTCCCAGAGGAGGTGCCCTTTGTAGTCACCAGGTGCACGGCAGAGATAGAACAGCGCGCTCTGGGTGTGCAGGTGCTACCTTGACCCTTAACCCTTGACATTTGACCACCCCCAGCAATGGCCTGACCCTCTCCATGGCTGGATTACAACCCAGGTATTTCTTTCCCACCCTACCCTGCAGGGCATTTATCGGGTCAGCGGGTCCCGGGTCCGTGTGGAACGGCTATGCCAGGCTTTTGAGAATGGCCGAGCATTGGTGGACCTGTCGGGGAACTCACCTCATGATGTCTCAAGTGTCCTCAAGAGATTCCTCCAGGAGGTAGGTGCTCAGGGAGCAGGGACAGGGGCTGGGCAGGCTTAGGCTAAGGACCCTCTGCAGCCTACCCATACCCATGTCCCCTCTGCCATTCCACCTCCAGCTCACTGACCCCGTGGTTCCCTTCCACTTCTACGATGCCTTCATCTCTCTGGCTAAAACCCTGCATGCTAACCCTGGGCATGAGCCTGGGAACCCCAGTCCCAGCCCTGAGGTTATTCGCTTGCTGAAGACCCTCTTGGTGCAGCTGCCTGGCTCTAACTACAACACCCTGCGGCACATGGTGGCTCATCTGTTCAGGTGTGCACTATCCCTACCTTGAAATAGACTTCTGACCTGAGGCATGGATCTGTGACCCCTGCCCTGGACATGTGACTACTGACCCCTGGGACTGACCTCTGACCTTTGCATGTGTTTTCTGAGCTCTGAACCTTAATACATGACTTCTGACTTTTGGTGTCTACTCTTGACCCTCATCGCTGGGTATGTAGCTGCTGGTCTCAAACAATGACCAGGGCCACTGACCCGTGATGGGCAAGTTGCCACTAGTCTGGCTTTCAGGTCCTACCGGATGAGTGATGACTGGGCACTCTGTGCCTTTACCCTTCTCCTCACCCCATCCCCAGGGTGGCTGCACAGTTTGAGGAAAACAAGATGTCTGCCAACAACTTGGGCATTGTGTTTGGACCAACGCTGCTGCGGCCACCAGACGGTCCTGGGACAGCTGGCACTGGCTCTGTTACCTGCCTCCTGGACTTCGGGTACCAGGCCCAGCTTGTCGAGTTCCTCATAGTGCACTATGAACAGATCTTTGGGATGGATGAGCTCCCCCTGGCCACTGAGCTTCCGCCTCAAGACCCCAGTCCGACCCCTGGGCCCCTCACAACCAGCACCCAGCCACCACCCCCATACCTTGCCCCAGATCCCCTGCTCCCAACCCTACCGTCAGACCCAGACCCAGACCCAGACCCTGAGCCCTACAGTGCCCTGGAAAAGCATCCTGAGGCCATGCCCACCGAGGTAAGAACCAGCTGGGCCCACAGACATGGGGAGGGTCTTCTCTCCACTTAATCTCCTTTCTCTCCTCTCTTCCTTCCTTCCTTTCCCTTTAAAATTTTCTCTTTCATTCCTTCCTTATGTACCCTGTGCTCATTCTAGAAGGAAAAGTGAGGAATGGAATTGGGGAGGGGTGGTAATAATGGAGTAACAATAGGATACAGCCCTGCAGAGGGTGATCATTCATTCCTTCAACAGAATATTTATTGAACACCTATGTGCCAAGCATTGTTCTAGGTATTACATATACATCAGTGAGCAGAATATTCAAGGACCCCATTTTCTTGGTGCCTGCATTCTCATGTGAAAGAAACCAGAAAAAGAAAAATACGATACAGAGTTAGTTATATAGGATGTTATATGGTGACAAGTACTATGGAGAAAAGAAAGGGTAACATAAGGTAAGAGATATCAGGGGCACCAAGGTGAGAGGTGATGGACAGTTTGCAGCAGTAAGTAGGATGGTGTGGGCAGGTCTCATGGAGAAGGTGGATTTGAGCAAAGACTGGGAGGATGTGAAGGAGAAATAAGCCAGGTGAAGATCAGGGTAAGTGTGTTCCAGGCAAAGGGAATAGTCAGAGCAAAGGCCCTGAGGTGGGAGCATGCCTGGTGTGTCCAAGGCACAGCTCCGAATGAGGGGAAGGGTCAAAAATGAGGCCAAAGGGGTCTGTGGGCCACCACCTACTATGCATAGACACTTTATAGGCTTCCTGTCATTCTCACCACAGCCCTGAGTGGTAGATGCTGTTTGTGAAAACCATTTACAGATGAGACTCCTAGAGGGGTTTCCCTGTCCCTCAGATTCTTGCTGTTCCCGAGCTGGGAAAAGGGCTGCAAGTATTCTGTGAGACTCTGAGAACTAGAGTGACTCAGAAAGTGCTCAGGACAGTGTCTGACACATACAAAGAACTCCAGTTGCTATTAGCATTTAGCTAAAAGCACAACAGTAAGAATATACAGCTAAACAGGTGTAAGAGAATAGAGCAGGTAGGAGATTCTCCTCATCCTAGTGTGGAGATGGTTAAGTCACAACCTGGCCTGGCCCTCTGCTGAACAAGGGCATTCCTGCCCTCACAGAGCCCACAGTTGAGACCAATAACTTTGCTCTGCACAGCAGGACAAGCAGGACACTGTTAAGGGCATCATCTCTCTCCAGACACCAAAACTACAAAGGAACTTGCATGTCTAGGAACAAACTCTCAGTTCTCCAAGAGTCTCAAAGAACTGGGATTTTACTGCTGGGGTCTTGGTCTTGGATTTCTCCCTACAGATTCTAACTCCACAGAGTGACCAGAGAGAGGAAGTGGCCAAAGACACCAAAGACGAGAGAGGGGAAGGTGAGTGTGTTGGGGAGTAACCCAGGAGTTCTGGGGGTACCCCTGCCTAGGGTAGTTGGCAGAGAGATGACTCTCAGGGGGGGCGACATCCAGAAGACTTCATGATGCTCAGCAATGACCACCCCATTCCATAGTGTCCAGCCACGGCCCTGAGGACTCACTCCTGGGGACACAGTCCCGTGGCTACTTCAGCCGCCAGCCAGTAAAGTATCCCCGGGGAGGAGTGCGGCCTGTCACCCACCAGCTGTCCAGCTTGGCCCTAGTGGCTTCCAAATTGTGCGAGGAGACCCCTGTCACATCAGGGCCCCAAGGGAGCTTGAGGAGGAGGGGACCAGGCCCTGCTGCTGCCTCCCCTGAGAGCAGCCCCCTGCGCCGCACCCCACTGCCCAAGCATTTTGAGATCACCCAGGAGACAGCCCGGCTACTCTCCAAGCTGCACAGAGAGGATGTGCCCAAGGCCACCTGCCACCCGGAGGACCCTCAGCCTGAGGATGAGGAAGCCGAGGACCATCTCTGACCATCCTAGCACTCTGAACAAATGGCCCAGGACTGAGGAGATAGACTCACTCCTTCTCGAGAGTTCAATGTTGGGGGTTCTAAGAGTTCCTATAAGGAAAAACTGCACAGCCTGGCAGATTAGAACCCTTTTTGGGGCAATCTACCAGAACACCCAACTAGACACAGGTTACTGCCAAGCATCAGGGCCACTCAGGTTCAGAGGTCATCAGGGTCAATACTCAGGTTCAGTACAGGCCACAGGATCCTTGGAGTCCACCCTAGTCTCTGACCTCTTGGACAGGGGTACCTTTTTGCTACTTTGGTTTATGGCCATTTCCCCACCTCCGCCCACCTTCTTAGCTGACCCCAAGTGCCCAGATCTGGGAGTGGGGGAGTTACAGCCCAGACACATCCTGGTGGTGCCTGGGGTCTGATGGCCTCTGAATAAACTGTGTCTTTATGTCCTTGAGTGTCTTTCTTTGCCAGGTGAGGGCAGCAGCATCTGGCCCTATTTCACCCATCAGGGACACCAGGGCCTCCTTTCTCAGCACCTATAGGCAGTTGGGTGGCCCCGGAGCTGAGTCACGCCGCCCGGCCCTGCGGGAGCTCTCGTCCCGGACGCAGTCCTGCCTGATCAAATATAACAAAGTGCAGATAACCGGGACAATGGAGCTGTGTGCTCGGCGACGCAGGCCCAGGGGCGTGGGCCGGGGGCGGGATTACGAGAGAAACTCGAGTGCGGGGACGGTCTACCCAGGAGGTCCCGGGGCTCGGCATCTCCTCGCCCGAAGGCGCGATGGGGAGGGGGTCCGGGCGGTGGGAGCCCGGTCGGATCAGGGCGTGGCCTGGAGCTCGGCGGCGGATTGGGCGCGAGGGAGCGGGGCTGGGCCAGCGCGGGGGCGCGGGCCGGGGACCACCC